CCCCCCCACCCCACCCCCCCCGGTTGCGTCCCCATCGACTGAATCGAACCCGCGTAGGCGTCTATGTCCACCATGCATGGCCACCAGCAGAGGCAACAACAGGCACTGGCGGCGGCCGCGGCCGCGGGTGCCCAGGCGGGCGTGCAGTCACAGGTAAATCGAGAGCATCGGTAGGGCTAGAGGGTCGGAACAACAGGTTGAAACGCGCTTTGTCCTGCATGCAATTCATAGGTCCCGCGGAGAGAGAGATTGGCGGAATGTTTGGGCCGCATGTTTTCCCAGTTTTGGCGGCATCATAACTGGTGTCTGGTGTTCTTCTGTTGTCGGTAAATCGCTTGAACCTTAGGCCGGGTGTCAAACGCGATCTTCATGCCACCCAACACAATCGGTTTCATCCAGCCTTTCTGGGTTAGTAGCGCATGCCTCTCCCGCGACAACACACACATGCATAGCTGTCCTCCTACTCATGAAGGCGGGAGACAAAACGATGCAGTGACCGCTCGTCCCGTTGATGATGCCCCCGATTTCGGTTGCAAGCACTTATCTTCTGTCGCGGGGCTATCACCCGAAGCTCCATGGTAAATAGGCACAAGCACCCCTGCCGCTGGCTAGTTCGGTCGGCATGGGTTGCGGCAATTTACTGAATTCCGTGGTTGCAGATCCCCCCAAGTGTTTGTTGCTGCATTCTGGGCCTCTCCTTGGCTTGTTGTTATCGCTCACCGTATGTGGTCATTGACGAGACGGCAACGAACCAGTCAGTTCAGAGGTACCGCATACAGCAGTGCGAGTTGTCGCACGCCCCCCAGACCAACTTTCAAAGCTCGATTGCCCCAGAACTTCAAGGGTACCATATGAAAACCGACCGATGTTCTACGTGCAAGCAAAGGTAGCTCTCGACGAGTTACATATGTCCAAGGGGTCCCTTTCTCGGCATTGTGCAGCCTCTTTTGGAGCCAATCAAGCCGTGAACCTCGGTCTAGGAACGCGCGATACATGTAACTCAGAACACTCTCTACGGTCATCGCTGGAAAGCAATGCGAGCCTATCGAAGGCGTACATCGGTCCCACCGACATGCCTGCACGACCTGAACGCTATTTGTCCATCCCGCGTTGTTCGTGTTTTGACAGGCGGCTGGGATGGCGACGGCGACCGCTCGAGCCCAGGCAGGCAACGTCCGGCGGGAGTTGCTAGAGAGCCGGGAAGACCTGTCGAGAGACATTTCGAGGGCCGTGGCTTCGGCTGTTCAGGAGCCCGTCGGGGTGGCGTTCCGCGAGTGCTTCGAGGGGCAGCTCATCCCCAGGATCCAGGTAAAGCGACACGGCTTGCACCTCCACGTATTTTTATCGTGGTATGGGATAGCATGGTAAGGTGAATGGTTTTTACAGAACGTCAAAGCTCTCTTTGCTGATTGGTTGAGTTTATTCGTCCAGTTTTGACGAAGAACCAATGGTGGTGACCGTTTTTGTGAGTTCGTGTTGTTCGTCGTGGTTGAAATCCTTGATGGCTTGATGGCTTGATGGCTTGATGACTTGAGTGCCTTAAGAACAGCAGCTATTCCCAGCACCTGAGAGTTGGGTTACAGAGGTAAAACGAACTCGCGTGAAGGAAAAAGGATTTCAGCGTTCGGCAGCGGCGAACAAGCACTTGTCAGCTGCTGCTGGTGCTGCCACGTGTTTTATTGCTGAGCGCGATGGTGGTGGGCGTGAGAGTCATACGACACCATGGTCTAGTGTTCTTGTCGCTCGTCGCCGCTGATGGTAGTCTTGCCTAATCGGACAACATCATGCCGAAATCCTAGCGTAACCTTTCACGAGGATAGAGTGGATGAAGACAAGGCACCGCCCTCAACTGGTTTCTCCTCCCCGCTTCGATATCCGTCTATCTCACCTCTTCATCTCCTCCATGCCCATTTTGGCGCAAGAGGAAACACCAAAGAAGAGGCGCACCCGTTCTTCCTCACGCCTGTTGTCGGGTGCGCGACCAACTTCTCACCCAGCACTGCCGCTCGCCCCCCCTTGTGTGTCGTCCGGCTGCTCTCGCAACAGTTTCGATTGTACCCAGGAGCCTAATTCTCTTTGGTTTGCTCTTGCTCTGTCCGTCTCTGCCTCTCTTTCCGTCTTTGCTTCTCTGCCTCTGTACGTCCATCTATCTGTCTGTCTCTCTGTCTCTCTCTGTCTCTCTCTGTCTCTGTCTCTGTCTCTCATCTTTGTCTCTCCCCCCCCGGCCCCTATTGCCTTCTGCGCGCTAACCTAACCAACCCACCAGAGCGCGGTGCAGCGCATGTTCGAGCAGATCAATGACTCCCTCACCCGCGGGCTGCAGGCTTCTCCTCTCGTCAACAACCGGGCGGTCGCACTCGCCGAAGACGTTTCGCACGTCAGGTAAAACGATGTCATGCCTGTGTGCCTGTAGATATCAGCATGTCCGGCAGTAAATCGAGTTTCGAGAGATGCACCATGCAATTTGCTTTTTGGCTGTTGGTAGCATCAGCGTTTTTCTCCTTCCACACAAAGCACAAAAACAACGAACGACGCTTGACGCGGAGGACCCGCCTGGGGTTTGGTACGTATCTAGTTTGGATTAACTGTCCGACATTCAGCTCTCGTTTGTCAGGTAAGAAGTGTATGTTTTGTTGTCTCTTAGGAGCTGTCCCACAGTCCCAGATCCCCTACGTTCCGGTAAGGAGCGTGGTTTGTGTTGGCCTCGTAACTGTGGGTGGTTGGTGGCTTGTTTTTGGCGCAGGGACCGCGTGGAAGGGCTGGAGAGCGGGATGCGAGACGTGGCTTCCGCGCTGTCGGGCCTTGGCGTCAAGATGGAGCGCTTGGCGGAGCTGACCCGGGCTATACAGCAGACGGGCTTGGCCACCGCAGCCTCCGTCGAGGTGAGGAGCGTGTGCGCTTACAAGGCGTGTGCGTACATAAGTCGTGTGCGCTTACGAGCAATGTATAAAGCGAATATGAAGCAGGACAAACGAGCTCGCTCTACCAGTAAGCTCGCCCCCGGGAGAGAGGGATCGAAACCCTGGCGCTCAAGAGCGCAGAGCAACGGTACAGGTGTCGGACGAGTTCTCTCGCCTGTGGGCTCCGCGAGGCTTGGCGACTGACTCTGCTCTATAATAGCAGACCTTGGACATCCATCCCGGCTCTGCTTGCCGCCGGAGAAGCGCCGGAGAAGTTTGTTGGATAAGAGTCGTCAGCATCGCGTGGCTGGGGACCTCGAATCAATAACCCATGTGTGCTAGAGCTTGCTTGTGGCTTCGCCAGGTTCTGCAGTGAGTGCACCGATTACGGAGTTGTCATCATTGCCACGCCCGTTTTCGGGCGAGTACACAACCACCATGAACGTCCTGTTCAGGAGCGTGCGTGTCGTCGGTCTCAACACACCGACTACATATCATAGTCGAAGCTTTGACTACCTACCTCGATTATAATCGAACCATTATTTTCGACTGTATTATAGGTGCGCTTTCTTCCGTCTCCCTGACTGAGTGACTGAGTGACTGAGTGACTGAGTGACTGAGTGACTGAGTGAGTGACCCCCTTGGACCCGGAACGACGAAATGCTGACGGTTTGATGGTTTTGCTTTTGGTTCTCGACAGGCGGCGGCCGCGAGCGCGCAGGCGGCGGCAGTGGCAGCGGCGGTTAGCGGCGGCGGGACAACCACAACCCGATCCATGAGCGGCCGCAGCTCCGGTAACGTCACCCCCCCGGCTGTCGTGGACCCCAGGGAGGAGCTTCACCGCCTCGTGGGCGCTGGAAGGTGGGAGAGTCTACCGGCCTGTTTACAGTGCTCAGTCTTGTGTAGCATTGGGTTGATGGCTAGAGGTGGGATTGACCATTACCACTACTGTTGTCGTTCTTGGTGTAACGGGATATGCGTTTGAATAGCTCAAATTTGGTCTGTTGATTTGGATTTTTTCATCTGGGGACGGCTTGGAAATCTGCACGCGGCATCGACTATCTTATAGAAGTATTTGTTGCAAGAACCGTATTTGGGACTTGCTCCTTGGCACCAGAGGCGTGGACGGGCGGAGTCTCGTTTCGCGGCCCCGCCGTTGCCAGGTGCATACCACGGTGGTTCAATATTTTACGGTTTACGGGCAACAAACACCGTGAACACCAGGCGGTAATTTTTTGGTGCCACCGCCGAACATTGCATGTGTACCTGACTCATGTCAGCGACCAGTCAAGGAGGACTCTCGCTTTCTGCGTCTTGCGTTGCACGGACCGGTCGCAGCTGCTGTTGATCACTCAATCCAACCGTCTAACCGCTCTGCACGAACCAACCAACGTGGCGTGCACATGCAGGGTGGACGACGCGATGAACCGGGCGCTATCTGCGTCCGACCTGCCCTTGGTGATGTGGCTCTGCGGACGCCTCGACCCCGTAGCGACCCCCTCCACCCTACCGCAGCACATCCTGCTCTGCTTGGTGCAGCAGTTTGGCGCATCGGATCTGTTGGAAGACACCGTGAGTGACCAAAAGCCGTCAAGGCTTGTAGAAAAAGTGTCTTACCTTACTGATTGAACACCTTCTACAGTAATGCAAGTGATGATCAATTGGAGATTTGTCGTCGTGCAGTGAAGCGATGTCCGAGTTGAAAGGGATGTGCTACCAGTGAAGAAGACCGAAGGCGGAGAACGCGCTTGCCACGGACGGTAGTTGTTGCGGGAGCGCAGATGTAGTTCGAGGTGTCGACAGTCCGATCTAGCAGAGGGCACATGGGAGGCAACATTTTGGCGGCGGCGGGGGTCTAGATCATTGTTTTCTGGAGTGTGCGCGCGTGTGTGTTTGATTTTCCATCCGAATAGTGACGAGCGGGTGCTTTTTTTGTCTTTGTGCAGCTTTGTACAGTCCCGCGTACATCATCTTTCTCTTCCCCCCC